ACACACACACACACACACAAACACACACACACACACTCCTTCCCCTCTCTCTCTGAGGACTGATAGACTGATGGTGGAAGTTACTAAAAATATGAAACTGTTCCAATTTAATAGAAAAAGCAAGCCAAACACAAAGAACAGAGAGGTGAAGTAGCGCCCACTAGCCACCCACCAAACTGATAATTCATGTAGAAGGGTAAACGAAGAGTGCACAGTAATCACTCTAGGCCCAAGTGCAACAGATTGCGGAGATGGCGCAGCCCAATGGGGAAAAAAACAAACATAACCGCACATCGTAAATAAGTTGGAATTATCAAGGTAGATTACAAGACTTTGTACCCACAGGACACACAACACACACACCGTCTCTTTATTCTCGTTCCTCGACACAGACAAGACACACACACGCGCGCCAATGCTCATACACAGAGAGAGACAGAGAGAGACAGAGAGAGACAGAGAGAGAGAGAGAGAGAGAGAGAGAGAGAGAGAGAGGAGGCAAAACGACATCTTAAGGCCATACAACTGGATGACTTGGACATAATGAGAGCAAACACTGTGTTAGCAAGGGTCATTCAAAATAACGAAGGCCCCGGGCACAGAAAAAACTGTGTGTCTCTTTTGATTGTGTTGTCTCGTGGGAGTTCACTCAGATGAGAAACTAATCACAACGATAAAAGTATGTAGTTTACCTCTCGCGCTCGCAAACAGCATTGGTAAAAAGAGAGGAGAAAGCTTAATCGCTTGACATCTAGCTCATTAAAAAGACCAGCTAATCATTTAGGGACAGAAAACGCACGGCTATCGTAAACCACGCACGGAGAAGTATCCAGTATATGTTTCAGTTTTAGTAAGTATTTTACTGCACTTACAACGCAATAAGGTCATATAAGGGCAGAAGACCAGAGATGTTACAAGAAAGTAACAAACACACAAAAAGGAAGGCAGATAAGGATGATAGATGTTTTATAGAAATGAAAGAGCAAACCACACCAGAGCACCCACCAACAACCCACTAGAGAAGCTAAGAAGAAGCAGAAGGCCAGTACCAATTCCCAACTCAACCCGACCCAAAACCGATTCGACCATGCAAATCGAGTCCATTCGCCGAACCCCCATGGGTTTTTTTTCTTTCTTTTTCTTCTTCTTTTTCTTCTTTTTTTTTTTCAATTAAAAACTATTCGGCTTGGACTTCTCACCTGTCGCCTGGCCTCCTCCTCGTCGTGACGTCTGAGCTCGGCGCGCTTGTCCTGCGCCTGGATGAGCTGGTGCTGGAGTCGTACCTTCCTGGCCAGCAGCTCCTGTCTCTCCACGCGCGCCTCGGCACACACCTGGTCCCAGCGGTCGGCCACTTGTCCCAGACGCTGGAAGAGGGGGAGACAAAAGATACACGAACGGTTAGCTGTTTGTTAGGGTTCAGTTATAAAAGTAACAAATCGACACAATAACGAGTATGTGGGTGTAGTCTTTATTAATAATAATAATAATAATAATAATAATAGAT